GATTACAGATAAACCGTTGCTCCATTCTTTGATGGCAGAGCCCTGATTTTTTTTACGGTATTTTCCCTCCACTACCACCAGATCCTCACCTGGAAATCACTTGGAAGGTGACTTCCAGATCAGACACAGAAAGTAAATAATGATTTGTCTAAGCTCATATTGGTCGTCTTATTCCCCATGCTATTTACTGGTTTCTCCACAGGCATGTGACCCAATCCTGGCTAATGGGGCTTGAGCGGAAGTCTACTGGATTGGTACTATGAAAAATAGTAGCCTATTAGATATATTAGACATAGCAGTATTGCACTGGGCAAATTTGCTCAAACAACTTTAAAGTTTTAAAAAGAAAAGATGTCATTCTGATGACTAAGTTGTGCCTGACTCAAGCTATGGTCTTTTCAATCATCTCATATGCATGTGAAATCAGGACAATGAAAAAGGTAGACAGAAGAATAATTGGTGCATTTGAAGTGTAGCATTGGTGAAGAACATTGAATATACTGTGAACTGTCAGAAGAACAAACAAATCAGTCTTAGAAGAAATACAAACAGAACGCTCCCTAAAAGCAAGGATGGCAAGATTTTGGCTCCCTTACTTTGAGCATGTCATCAGGAAAGACCAATCACTAGAAAAGGACATCATGTTTGGTAAAGTAGATGGTCAGTGAAAATGAGAGAAACCTTCAATGAAATGGATGGACACTATAGCCACAACAATGGACTCAGCATACAAATGACCATGAAGATGGCACAGGACTGAGCAACGTTCCATTCTATTATATACATAGAGATGTCATGAGGTGGAGCCAACTCAACAGCAGCTAACAACAACAACAACTAAACATACAAGGGAGATGTTTAGAAGGAGTTGGATATATGTCTGGAATTCAGAAGACAGGTCCAGAATGGAGATGTAATTTTGGGGGGTTGTTGCTACATAGATCATATTTAAAGTAACACAATGGGATAAGATCATCAGGGAGTGAATGTATACAGAAAAGGCAAAAAGTCAAATTATTGGGCCCTGGGGCACTGCAGCATGTACAGATCAGAGAGATGAGAAACCAGGAGGAGCCAGTAAGGTAGGAGAAGAACGAGGGTGATGGAGAGTCCTGGAAGTTGTGCACTGCAGATTAGTAAGTAAACACAATTAAGCCCATGCATATCTTGCTTACTGTAAGCCCCTATGTACCTTGCTTACTGGTTAATCCATCCCTCCCTGCCACAACTGTTTCTGAATCATCTTCAGCAAAATTTTACTTGCATATGATATTAACAATATTGTTAGATAATTTCTGCATTCTGTTGGATCATCTTTCTTTGGAATGGGCACAAATATGGATCTATCTCTTCCAGTCAGTTGGCCAGGTAGCTGTCTTCCAAATTTCTTGGCATAGATGAGTGAGTGCTTCCAGTGTTGCATCCATTTGTTGAAGCATCTCAATTGAAATTCCATCAATTCCTGAAGACTTTTTTGCCAATGCTTTCAGTGCAGCTTGGACTTCTTCCTTCAGTCCGTTCGGTTTTTGATCAAATGCTACTTCCTGAAATGGTTGAACATCAACCAATTCTTTCTGGTAAGGTGATTCTGTGTATTCCTTCCATCTTCTTTAGATGCTTCCTTTGTCGTTCAATATTTTGCCCATAGAATCCTTCAATATTGCAATTTGAGGCTTGAATTTTTTCTTCAATTCTTTAAGCTTGAGAAATGCTGAGAGTGCTCTTCCCTTTTGGTTTTCTAACGCCATGTGTTTGCACACTTCATTATAGTACTTTACTTTGTCTTCTTGAGCTGCCCTTTGAAATCTTCTGTTTACTCTTTTACTTCATCATTTCTTTCATTCACTTTAGCTACTTAACATTCAAGAGCAAGTTTCAGAGTCTCTTCCAACATATACTTTGGTTTTTGCTTTCTTTCCTGTCTTTTAAATAACTTTTGGTTTCTTCACATATGATGTCTGTCGTGTCATTCCATGACCCATCTGGTCTTTGGTCATTAGTGTTCAATGTGTCAGATCTATTCTTGAGATGGTCTCTAAATTCAAGTGGGATATACTCAAGGTTGTACTTTGGCTTTTGTAGAATTGATGGTCTGTTCTGCAGTCGGCCCAAGGCCTTGTTTTGACTGAGCATATTGAGCTTCTTCATCATCTCTTTCCACAGATGTAGTGGATTTGATTCCTGTGCATTCCATTCAATGAAGTCCACATGTATAGTTACCGTTTATGTTGTTGAAAAAAGATATCTGCAATGAAAAAGTTGTTGGTCTTGCAAAATTCTATCATGTGATCTCTGGCGTCCTTTCTATCACCAAGGCCATATTCTCCAACTACCAATCCTTCTTCTTTGTTTCCAACTTTGGCATTCCGATCACCAGCAATTATCAATGCATCTTGAATTGCATGTTCGATCAATTTCAGACTTCAGAAGTTGGTAAAAATCTTCAATTTCTTCCTCTTTGGCCTCAGTGGTTGGTGCGTATATTTGAATAATAGTCATATTAACCGGTCTTCCTTCTAGGTGTATGGATATTATTCTGTCACTGACAGCGTTGTACTTCGGGATAGATCTTGAAATGTTCTTTTTGACCATGAATGCAACACCATTCCTCTTCAATTTGTCATTCCTGGCGTAGTAGACCACATGATTGTCCAATTCAAAATGGCCAATACCATATCCATTTCAGCTCACTAATGCCTAGGATATCGATGTTTATGCGTTCCGTTTCATTTTTGATGACTTCTAATTTTCCTAGAGTCATACTTCGTATATTGCATGTTCTGATTATTAATGTATGTTTGCAGCTATTTCTTCTCATTTTGAGTCATGCAAATGAAGGCCCTGAAAGCAAATGAAGGTCCTGAAAGCTTGACTCCATCCACATCATTAAGATCAACTCTACTTGGAGGAGGCAGCCCTTTCCCAGTTGTATTTTGAGCGCCTTCCAACCTGTTGGGTTCATCTTCTGGCACTATATCAGACAATGTTCCACTGCTATTTACAAGTTTTTAACTGGCTAATTTTTCTCAGAAGTGGACCGCCAGGTCCTTCTTCTTAATCTGTCTTAGTCTGGAAGCACAACTGAAAACTGTCCTCCATGGATAACCCTACCGGTATTTAAATACTGGTGGCATGGCTTCCAGCATCACAGCAACACACAAGCCCCCATAGTACAACAAACTGACAGATGAGTTGTGTGGCGGGGAGGGGTCTTCCTTGTAGGTGTATGGATGTTATCCTATCACTGACAGTGTTGTACTTCAGGATAGATCTTGAAATGTTTTCTTTGATGATGAATCCAGTGCTGTTCCTCTTCAATTTGTCATTCTTGGCATAGTACACCATATGATCGTCTGATTCAAAACGGCCAGCTCATTAATGCCTAGGATATCAATGTTTATGCTTTACACTTCATTTTTGATGACTTCCAATTTTTCTAGATTTATACTTTGTACATTCCACATTCCGATTATTAATGGATGTTTGCAGCTGTTTCTTCTCGTTTTGAGTCATGCCACATCAGCAAATGAAGGTCCTGAAAGCTTTACTCCATCCAGGTCATTAAAGCCGACTACTTCGAGGAGGCAGCTCTTCCCCAGTCATATTGTGAGTACCTTCAAACCTGAGGGGCTCATCTTTCGGCACTGTATCAAACAATGTTTCACTCCTGTTCGTAAGATTTCACTGGCCAATTTTTTTAGAAGTAGATTGCCAGGTCCTTCTTCCTAGTCTATCTTAGTCTAGAAGCTTCACTGAAACCTGTCCACCATGGTTGACCCTGCTGGTTTTTGAAATACTGATGGCATAGCTTCCAGCATCACAGCAGCATGCAATCTACCACTGTATGACAAATTGACAGAGATACTAGATGTGAAACAGTTGTCTGAGAGAGTGGGAGAGCATATGGACCTGAAAAATGTAGAGTATAGCTAAGCATTAAGTATTCCCTTGAGGATAATGGGAGATTTTGTGGCGCTCTGGTTAAGCCCTCGGCTGACAAAAGGTTGGTGGTTTGAACCCGTCAGCAGCTCCGTGGGAGAACAATGTGCCAGTCTGCTTGCTAAAGATTAGAAACCCTATGGGGCAGTTCTACTCTGCCCAATAGGTCACTACGAGTCAGAATTGACTCGAGGGCAATGGGTTTTGGATGACTTTTGAGGATAATGATACTGAACTTAGAATGACATCAGTAGGTATGATTTTGTATTTTTCTCCATCCCTCACCAACCCCCACCCCATTTTGCAGCAGGTTCAGCCTCTGAATTTCATCAGGTCAGTACAAAGAAAGGAGAGAAGGACTGGAGAAATGAACACATGGGAGTGATTTTCATGACGGACAATAGAATCTAACCTGTTTAAGGAGAGTAGTGAGGATATGATGATAGTGAGGGATAAATAGTGAAAACGTAGTAGGGTCGATGGATTTGGGGGTCTCCGGGAAGCTGAAGAATTTTTGGAGTTGATGTATTAGACGGAGCGAGCTAGAAAGGCAGGAGGTTGTGATGGGAGAGTTTGGTGATTAAAATGATTATAATTGGAGGGGTTACAATTATTGGTAATGATAAGATCTAAGGTATGAGCGTGGAAGTGAGAGGCTGAGGCAGGGTGATCACTGGAGAAAAGGAACTGAGAGGGCAGGATTGGAAAAATTATCTAAGGATTGAAATCACCAAGAATTATGATAATATTATTGAGAGATAATGAACCAGGGCTAAAATTTTAAAGAATGAGGGAGAGTGACTCCAGGGTCTACAGGTGACTGAAACGAGTCATTGTGCTAGTCTCTTGTCGTCACGTGATATTCAAAGTTCTCGTTATTTTTAAATGAAGTGGAGGAGGACTCGAGGGGGTGTGGCTCTTAGGGCCGGGGCGGGGAGAAGCCAGAAATTGGGGGAGGGGCGGGACCTCGACTGAGTCTGCGCATTGAGGGCAGAGGCCGGTCAAGCTATGGCTCGCGAGCGGGGGCGGGGCCTCTCAGGGGCGGAGTCTGTGCGCTGGCTTTGGCTGCGGCTGCTGCGGCTGCACTTCCAGCTTCTGAGGGAGGGAGGCCGAGGCCTGGGCCGAGCCCGGAGCCGCCGCTCGCCCGAGCCTCCTGGAGCCCCCGCACCGGCTCAGCCTGGGGGCGGGCTCGGGCCCGGCCCGCCGCCGAACCCAGGACAGAGGCTGCTTGCCCGAGGACCAGGCCAGCGCAGCCATGGTGAGGGAGCGGGCCTGCCTGAGCCGCAGCCGCCCGCCACCCCTGCCCCGCGGGCATTCCCCTCCCTAGATCTGGTGCTCTCTCCGCGCCCTGCTTTTACCTCAGCCTGCCATTACCGCCCCCTGGATGTCTCCCCGTGCCCCTTGTCCACCTGCTTAGGTGAACCCCTTCAGGTGACACCTCCTTAATCGCCCTCCTCCCCGGTAACATTTTTTTTTTCTTATCACCCCAGTGACAGCCTCTTTTCGCGTTCCCCTTTGCCGCCCCCTCCTCGTCCTTTAACCCCTCCCTTTCTTTTCTCTTCCATTTTGCTTTTTTGTCTTTTCTGGGTTTTCTACTTCTCCCTTTCTCCCCCCTATTTTTCTCTCTTGCTCCTTGCTCTCCCTTCTTACCCTCCTTCACTGTTTTATCTTCACTGTCCCCCTCCTCTCTGTATCCCCTCTCCCCTTCTAATCTCCTCGCCCCTTCGTACTCAACCATTCACATTTCTTTTCCCCCTTATCGGATGTCCTCGCTCCCCCTCTCTCACAGCTGTCCCCATTTCCTTCCACGGGCTTCAGGGGTCTAACCAGGAATAATTTGAGAGCTGTAGCTCCCCAGGAGCTGTAGGGCGGCCAGATAGGGATTCTTCTTTTTCTTTTTGGAGAGGGGAAAGAGGAGATTGGAGGTATTGGAAAGAGCCTCAAGCCTTATTACCTAGGGTCAGTGGGAAATCTGAGTGATGGTGTGTTTTAGAGTGATGGGGTGAGGGCCAGCATGCAGACTCTGACCTAATGAGCTGTCTAGCCTTCTGACAGAACTAACCAAAGATGGTTTGAACTTTGTTTTTATTTTAAGTGCCTTTTCATGTGGAGGTGCAGTATGAGGAGTTTAAAAATACTTATTTACAAGCTTGATGATTACTTAGAACAAATGATTTGTTTTTGTTTGGACGTAGAGACCAGGGCATCTGAGGATTGAAAATCAGCTTGGCAGTCTCTTTAATATCTTCTGAAGACTTCATTTGTTTTGCCCACTCTGCTTTTGGTTGGGAGGACCTCATATTTGCAGTTTTTTGTTTTTCCTGTTTCCAAATAGGTTGAGACTTCATTTGGTCTTGCGTTGAATTGGGTTACACGTGGGTTGCAGTATATTTATTGAAAACATTGCTCCATAATATACAACAGGCTAAATTTTGGCCTCTGGGAGGAATAACACATTCTAGCCAAAACCAAGTCCTGGTAATCATACTCTCCTAGGATGTTAGTCAATTTCTGTTTTTCCCCATCCTATAAAAATCATTTAATCTGTTAGCTTTCTCTAACTCACTGACTCCTGCATTTTTGAGGTTGTCATTCTTCTGTGTCTGCCCCCACAGCAACCCTTCTCCCCCCACCACTCATCACTGACATTGTGTGCTAACCTTTTTCCTCCTATGGAATGCAGTTCTTCGAGGCAGCAGCTATGCCTTACTTCTGTTATTTCCAATGCCAAAGCCAAGTAGGTGCTTGAATGATTCACTTTATGGTCTCATCTTACTACCTGACAAGTATAACCTTAAAGTTGAGGCAACTAGTGGACTACACAGAAAGGCTTAATTTGGGAATCTTATTTTTGGTGCAAAAGGGAAATTTAGTGAGATGTAATGAATCTTCCCTTCAGAATAAAGAGCTGTAGTATCTAGGACATCAAATTGCTAGATTCTTGAAAGTGTTGGCCCTCCCACTGAAAATAAACGTTTGAGTACAGAGGAGGGAGTTATGAACTCCTCTTTGGGCATTTAGGATCAGAGTTATGAACTCCTCTTTGGGTATTTAGGATCAAAAACTGGTGTTTGAACTGGGCTTGGAAGGTTAAATAAAATTTATGTAGAACATTTTGCTTTATTGTGAATGTAAATAGAAAGTAGAAAGGAATTAGGATGTATTGTAGGAAATAGGGCTAACCCTAGCATGGAGGGATGTGGGAATGAGGATGTGTAGTAGGAAATGAGGCTAGAAGGATTATTAGGCATGATTATAGTTTAGACTTGGCCTCCAACCAACTTAATTTTTCCTTGTTAAAACACACATACACAGTAAAAGTACATGTGTGGTAAAGTGAAGGCAAGTATTAGCGTATTTTGAGCTGGGAATTATCTGTAGAAGCTGCTTTTTTGTTTTCCTTGTGCAATATGTTTAGAAGGCACTCAATAAATAGATGTTGAATGAATGATTATTATAAAGCTTTGCATTTTCTGTTTTTCTATTTTTTCTTTATTATGTTGTGTTTTGAATGGTCGATGTCTAAGGTAGGGGTTCTCAAACTTTACCATAGATCAAAATCACATTGGGGGGTTTGCTGGGCCCCCATCTCCAGGATTTGATTTGTTCCGTCTGGAGTAGAGCCTGAGAGTTAGCAGTTCTCACAAGTACCAGGTGATGTTGATGCTGCTGTGCACCACACTTCAAAATCACTGGTCTAAGATACAGTCCTTACTTTTCATTTATCGAACAATTTTTTTGGCGTGCCATTGAGTGTTGGCCTTGGGGACATAATAGAACAAATGTGGCCTCTGCTTTTTTGTATCTTATGTGTGTGGACATTATAGACATCAAACAAAAAGAGTAATTTCAAATGTGATGAGTGCTACGAGAGGGGAAGTTGTGGGATCACAGAATGGGATAGTTGGGAATGGCTTACCAGAAGATACAGCTTTCAAGAAGAGAACTGAAGGACTAAATTAAAGGAGTCGTGTTTTGGAAAGAGTACTCCATATAGAAGGAACAGCATGTACAAATGACCTGTTGTGGTACTCTGTCTTGCCTGCTTAACTCTGACATTATCTTGGAGTTCTCACTTCAAGAACTCAGGGAAACTGTCTGCCCTGCCCATTCCCCCCTCAAAAAAAACCAGAGTCATACCCCTTTCTGTTATGTAGCCCTTCTTAATAGCATACACATCAATTGTAATTTTACATTTCTTGCTGTGATTAGTTGATTAATGTCTGTCTCTACCTCTAGATTGTAAAAATCATTGACATATAGATGATTTTTTGCCCAGCTGCTAAGGGCCAGGTGATGTTCTAGGCACTAGGGTTACAGTGTTTTAAAAAAATACATGTCCCTAGTAGGGAAATTAGCCAATAAACAAGTACACTTACAAATATATAATGAGCAGTATTTAGAAGTGCCAAGAAAAAAAAATAAACCCGGGGTGAGATATAAAGTGATAGTGAGTGTATGGGGAAGAGAACAACTATTTTAGGTAGGATGATGAACAGTAATAGCTAATATTTTTTAACATAACTGTGCTGGACCATATTTTAAATGCTTTACATGTTTTATCTCATCTAATCTTCAGAATAAGCCAATGAGATATGAAGGTAAGAGACCATGTTTGTTTGACTCATCATTGCCATCTTCAATACCTGGATAGTGCCTGGTGCATAATAAGTGCTCAATAAGTATTTGTTGAATGAATGCTTTTGGGGGGATGACCAGAAATTCAGGGAAGTTTCACTGAGAAGGGGGCATTTGAACTGGGATGTTTGAACATTTAACAATAAGTATGGTTTGGTTGGGTAAGAATTTGGGAAGGAAAGTCATTCCTGGAATAGTGACCAGCTTGACCATAGAAGCTGAGACAGAAGCATGATGTATTCTGGCAAATGTGTGACTCTAGCATAGAGGGTAGAGTAGGAGATGAGACTAGATAAGCCTGAGGTGAGATCATGGAGGACTTTGAATTATCATCTAAGGAGTTTTGGCCTCATTGTATAGGCTCTGAGTACCTTAAAAGTTTTTGGGTCTTGTTTTGTTTTGTATCATAATCAAGAGGAGACTTAAAGGATGGTCTTTCTAAATACAATATGAAACATGGTTTGGAGTGAGGAGAAATATTGTATAAGTCTAGGTGAAAAATTAGTGGGTGAACTTTCATCCTTACCTTGTTATATAGTAATGGTAATTTAAATTGGAGGAAGGATAATGTAGGAAAATGAAATACGAAGATCTGGTACAACTCTTTGACTAAGTGCATTTTCCATAGAAGCAGTACCATAGAGTTGCAGGAGGAGCATAACTAACTTGCAGTTTTGCTCCCTGCCTCTCGGTTTTCACATACACTGCCTTTAGGGATTTTTGAGAACATTAAAACAAAGTAAATTTACTATACCAGTGTCCTCTATTTACATGTCCCAAAGTTCATGTATTAGGTCATGTAGAGTGAGTCAGCATTTCCCAATTTCCCAACTTTTATTTTTTTTAAATAGCTTTTGTGTAGCATATGAGAAAAGAGTAATTTTAAGTAAAAAATATTTTATTTTTAAATTATACATATCATAGTTAACTTAAAATATTGTTTTAATAGTAAACATATTAAAATGAATGTCAGCCTTTCCCATTTAACAAATGATGCATTAATTTTATAGATAAAGCTTCATTTTCCAATTTTAAAATGAATACATATGCAAATCAAAATCACAAGGAGATACCACCTCACCCCCATTAGAATGGCAATGA